ATCATCTTCTGACAGTAAAGTGATTATGAAAGTCAGTCTGAACTGTAAATCATAAAGCATTTTCCTTCCATACTGTGATGTATTTCAAGCTGAACGCGGTATCAGGGAGGGTCTGCGGTCTATATACCTGATATAAGATGTCGCTGTTGTCGGAAGAAAACCCTGTATCTCCAAAATGGTAACTTGACAGGAGAAGGAAAGAATCTACTTTACTTTTAATATAAGTCAATGGAACCAGACGTTTTTCCAAGTCATTTTGGGTCATTTCTTTTAGTCCATTCATCATGAAATTTACATATAATGTAAAGGGTAACAGGTATTTTCAAATTATGCCAAAAACTGAAAAACATCAAAAATGGAGATACAAGGTTTTGTTCCAAAAACAGCGATAAATGATCTCTGTTTTGATTGGCTGTCCTGTTTTTTGCCTCTCTTAGAACTGAAACACTCCTTAGAACTTCAATACTAATAGGCGGGACCAAACTGCCTTAGGCTAAGTATGTGGATATATGTAAATGAGTTCTCATGACATCACGTATACACTGAATTCAAAAAGAGCTGTTTTATGCAGCATAAATTTCCATATAGGGAACAACATGGACAACATCCTCTGATCTTCTGGGACAAGGGAGTGGATGTTGTAACATTTTCATGCTACATCAGCATCTTATTTAAAAAAAAAAATAAATAAATAAAAAAGGAGGAAATTTTGTTTTTGTATGATATGGGTTCTTTGAAGGAAATGGGTCCTCTGAATGGCATGGTAGGATGAATTACTCTTGATATGACCAGGGACGTGAACAAACAAGGTAAAAAAAGAAAAGGTCAATTTTGATTTCAGGTTTAACTTTCAACAATAAATCAGCAGTAGAATCTAATGTTGCTCTGGTTGGTGTTAAAAAATAAACATCATAGATCTTCAGCATTTGTCAGTAAACTTCAGCCAAGCTCCTCTCGTCTCGGTAAACATAAATATTTAGTCTATAGTCACTTATACTCTCAGAACACTTACAAACATGGGTTAAAAAAGCCTTCCAGACATCTTTTCTGAAACCTAAACAGAACTATTTCAGATCATACAGTTGAAATAGCTTTAAACATTTCAGAGCAGATGGAAGCATTTGAAAAACTTTATATGTGCCATATTTTTTTTCCAGCCATTATAATAAAGTCACAAGGCATTTTAGTGCAAAAAGTTAGTAATCGAAGTTGACTATAAAAAAAAAACAACACAAACAAAAATGCAGACCGCCAGGGGCCGCATGCACAGATCATAAGTCTAAATTACATCATGAGGCCAGTCACGACGACATGTGAGAGGACACGAGACCCAACGCAGCGGCTTTATGGCAGAACGCCTGCGTCTGTGGTGCTTCTGAGAGACAAACTGTCCCAAACTCAATGGCCCTGCAGGAGCTCGTCCTGCTGAGAGCTTCCTCTCCCGGCATTCGGATGAGACAGCAACATTTATTTCTGGTCTGCATTAATATTTAATGGTTATATCAAACTTGCAAAGTGATTTTGCTCCCACAAATGCTCTTCACAGGTCTGCGTTCTAAACCTCCAGTTTAAAAGCTACTGATTCCTTTTCCTGGCTGTTTTGATCGTCATAGACATGACATCATTTCACAATTTTACACTGGACAAAAAGCTACAGATGCAATACCATCATTGATTTGTTCACACTGAAAAAGGTTTTAGACTCATTATAGGTGGTTTTGAACTCCAATAGGTGTTTTTTATAAATTGCATACAGAGCATAAAATAGGTTAATCTACATGCAATGCAGCATTAGCTTATGGGCCATGGTTTCCAGACAGGCTAAAAGTCCGCCCCCCCAACACTTTTTAGGGGTTGCATAAACTAGCTGACTAGTCCACTAGTTGCTTGAAATACAGCAGCTGCTAAAGCCAGTGAACAGGCAGAACAAAGACAACAGAAGTACTTTGTTAGTGTGTAATTACTACATAAAATCAAACTAATTCTATTGCAAGATGCATAAGAATGCACTGAAATACAGACTCATAAGCCAGACCAGGTAGGTTTCGAGAACCATTTGACTGACATACAAAACATCCAATCACAGATTGGTTAACACAACATGTGCAAGGAAAACAAACATCGTAGTGCCACTTGGCAAAAGGACACTTCTACTTGCTACCAATGTTTTCAAACGCAATATATTCCATTTATTTAATCCAGGAATACCATTTTAAAAAAGGATATCATGGATGTTTCCAGGTTTAGCAATTAGGCCTATACCTCACTCTGAAAGACCTACTTCTGGCATTTAGCTTAATAAACAATTGTTTGTTTCCTATCAGACCAGCATGGACCAGAGCCAGTTTAAAATCTCTGAGAGGTGAGTTTCTGAGAGTCGAGGTAATTTTAGCACAGTTTAAATGAGACACACTTACTGAAGAAAAAAAAAAAACCTGCTGCCATTCAGCATGTGCACATCTTAAACCTCAAACCGCAACATCTGTGTTAGAACCAGGCCCGATTAGCAAAACACTAACAAAATACTTCTCACTGACGTCCGGAACACTCAGAACGACTAGTTGAGTGGTAAAAATTAAGTCATGCAAACCCCACCATTTATATACCCCTTTATCCTACATGTTAAAACTTGTATTCACAAAACCTTTAGCTCAACTAGTTAGGTTAGTGTAGTGAAAGCCAAGCTTATACTGTGCTCCATTAATAAAAACAATCAAAACTACGGTCCTGGTTGTTAAGACGTTAGCCATTGTTTTAAAAATGCTCTCCAACACTGCTATGAACCATATCATGACGCACAGGGGGCATTTTGTAATTTCTGCAGTGTCAAATGTCGGCAGGACCAGCTGTCAGGCTGATGTCAGCTCTGTCCTTCCGTACCACCCTAACAGCTGAGACAGACCCTTAACATTCTTCTGGACACACTCAAATCACCTGCGATGGCCTGCTGGGAAAGAACGACACCGGGGGGTGTTTCATCAAGCAATATTTGTCAGCTAGCCAGAAAATGTAAAGGAATACTCCAGCGTTTTTCAACCTAACACATTTGCCTCAGCACCTGCCCACTGGCTTCTATTGATAGTGTGCATAGAGTTAATAGGTTTTGTGCACACAGTGGGAAACTGCCCGTGGTAATAATCCGTACTCTACAGATGCAGAAGCTAGACGCTAGAGTATTCCCTTAAGCCCAACATCAAATCTGACCAAAACATCAACAGCTTAGGGACATCTGACTGGACAATCGTCACTTTTTGATAGATTTTTTGGTAGCTTTTTCATCATTTCTGCGTGAGCCAGCTGTTAAGATGTAAACATGGTAATTCAGAGTGGTTTGATGTGAAACGTTTACAGTGGTGACGATAGGAACCAGACGTCTAGAGACCAACCTTAATGCAGAGCCCAGTTCCAACCAATCTGCCACACCTGCTCCAGCTCATTAACTTCTTCAGAGGTCCCTGACTGACTGATCAGATGCATTAGTGTTAGGTGGGAGTGTTAGATGCAGGTTGGAACTAATCTCTGCTGGAGAGTAGATCTTGAGAAGGAGGGCTGGTGACCACTTCTCAAGAAATTACTTCACAGAAAGTTGTTACATGAAACGGTTATGAACATGCTGCCTGATGCCCGAGACTCACGATAAGATTTTGGCCTAAAACGTCATTTTTAAAATCTGTTCACGGCAGAGAGACACATGCAGGGCGTTATAAGGAGACATAAGGAGAAAATGTATTTTTTCCAGATATGTTGCAATTTTACCATTATCACACCATTATATATACTCATATACATATACAACTCAAAAGACGTGTGGCTTTACTTGCAATTTTGGATTGTAAATAAAAAGGCTAAGTTTGTGTTGTAGCACTGTGAGCACTGAGTTGATAAGTTTCTCTGCAATGAACCATTTCACATCAAACGTATACGAACGTCTTAGCTGACATCTCAATCATTAAAACGCACAAACATTTGAAAAATCAGTAAAACTGTCCATTACGTCATTAAGTTTACTGAGAAGTCCTGCCTTTTGAAACCCTTAACAGGTGTAGAATGAGTTCAGCTCATTCTTTTGCTGTAAACACACAGAGTAAGCAGTGAAGACACACACTGGTCTACTCAGCGTGGGCCAGGACATCCTACAATACAGCAAGAGAAGGAGGATTAAAGTTAAAGTTACCCTACATAGTGTGAGCTGGGAAAAAAAAACTTTCAAGGGAAAACTTTCAGGGGAAAATTGCAACAAAAATAATTTAAAAAAAATAAGTGCAACAAATAATAATCAGTAATAGGCTGACGCAAAGTCATAAGATTAAAACAGAACTTGCAAAGCATTTTTAGCAGATGCCTTTGTTTTAGAACAGAATATCCAACTCTGAAGAAAAGAAACCCACCTGCACAAAATGCATAAAATATGTTTAAGGGCTGAGGTGCACCAGATCCTTTTAGACATAAGAACAGTTGGACTGGATGACTAGGCAGATTTGGCACATCTTTGCAGCACTGCCTTGAAAGCCTGAAAGTGAGGTGCACCCAACTGCATCAATCCCAGAAAACAGAAGAGCCAGCTGAACTCTTCTAAATCATAAATAATACATCACCAGCTCAGCCCTGGACATCTGTCACAAACTCACAAGGTAATCCAAGAAAAAAGCACGAAGGCGTCAGTGAACCGGTCCTTTTAACATTTCAAGCAAGTCATAACATTCAGCCACTCCACAACATAGTTCCAGTAGTTCCACCCTTCACTGCACCCTGTCTATCTGTCTGTCTATCTGTCTGCAGAAGCTAGAACAGGATAAAATGGAAAAAATGTAGCCTCGCTCAAGCAACAACAAACAAACAGGACAGAAATGAGAAGCTTTCTGAAGCTGAACCCAAACACCGAGGGGATGAATGGACTCGCTGAAAGGCGCAGCACAGCAAATTACACTCAACTGAACAGACAATGATGAAGTTCACAGCTTTCTGTCAAATTTTCAACAGAATACAAGACGAACACTCACCTTCTCGAGCTGAGAACAGACTCCAGCTTGAGTTAGTTCGCTTCAGTTTGCAGCCTGCGCCCCAGACGAGCTCCCACACCGGCCGCTGTACAATATTCCAGCGTACGAGATTTTCTCTCTCTCTCAAATCGTCCTTCGCACGAACTTCCTTGAGATGAAAGGCTCATGACACCGAACCATCTTGACTCAGCGCAAGAAATTACGACTATTTCTCTTCACTTCATATCTCACCATAACCAGCTCCTTCGCTTCGTTCGACGAAACTCCTGCTTTCTGCTTTTCCGCCACTAATCAGTGCTGCTTTTCTCATTTCATCGTGCTCGCGCGCTGCGCGTGCTCGCCACAATCTCTCCCTACTAGTCCACAGAAGGGGGCGGAGCTACCCGCGGCGAGAAAAGTCAACGGTGATTGGCCGCCGTCTCTCCGCAGGCGAATCGGCGCCGCGGACTTTCAGGGGTGTGGACGCGAAGGGAGAGACGGGCGCGTCCCAATACGAGTACTCGTGTTCTGACTAGAACGCTCAGCCAGTGAGTGGGACTCTATCCGAGCCACTAGGAAAGCGTACTAGATAGAACCCTAGTGCGTATATTGGAACACGGCCACAGTCCTGCCCACCGCACTTGCTGGTGTATCGTTGCTGAACGCCTCGTTGTGTTTTGTATGGCAGCTGGCTGCCGCTGTTGCCTTGAAAGGTTGCCGTTATGACGCCTCGGTGTAGTGAATGTTTCATCTATGAGGTAAAAACAGCGATTTATCGCCGTTTGGATAATTCATTGAGGAAATATGATGTGAAATATTAGCGTGTCTGTCCTCTGGAAGCGGTCGCTGCCTCTCTAAGGGTAGCTTGCTAGGTTAGCTATCTAGTTAGTTAGCTAGCTGGCTAACAGCGCATTGCACCAAATGTGTTCATTTAGCGAGGCTGAAGTTCCTGTAACTACTAATAACTTTATATTTTTGTGATTTAAACTATCTGTTGTTGAGCCCAACGCTGCCAAGAAAGAGTTTTATAGGTGTAAGGGTGTAAGGAGTTTGGAAACGAGCACGTTAACGTTATATTAGAGCATGAATGCTGGTTGACTGTTCGTGCTGTTATTATTCAGCCACCCATGAAGTTTACAGTGCCAACGCAGTGATATCATATTAGGGCTGCAAGATTAGAATAAGCTAAAAATGCCTTGTCAAAATTATGTTGCTACATGCCGAGATACCTGAGATACACCAACTGACCATTTCATTAAGTCCACCTCCTCGTTTCTGCACTCATTGTCCATTTTATCAGCTCCACTTTCCATATAGGTGCACTTACAATTACAGACTGTAGTCCATCTGTTTCTCTGCATACTTTGTTAGCCCCCTTACACTCTGTTTTCCAATGGTCAGGACCCCACAGGACCACCACAGAGCAGATATTATTTGGGTGGTGGATCATTCTCAGTACTGCAGCGACACTGACGTGGTGGTGGTGTGTTAGTGTGTGTTGTGCTGGTACGAGTGGATCAGGCACAGCAGTGCTGCTGGAGTTTCTAAACAGTGTCCACTCACTGTCCACTCTATTAGACACTCCTATCTTGTTGGTCCACCTTGTAGAAGAAAGTCAGAGACAGAAGCTCATCTGCTGTTGCGCAGTTTGTATTAGTCATCATCCTCATTAGTGGTCACAGGACTGGATATTTTTGCTTAGTGGACGATTCTCAGTCCAGCAGTCACACTGAAGTGTTTCAAAAACTTCAGCAGCACGGCTGTGTCTGATCCGCTCATACCAGCGCAATAGTATTGCAATAATGATTAAGCTATGATATATTGAGCAGCTCTGCTTCCAATACCGTTAACAAGTCTTTCATATAATGTCCTACTATCTTGTAGTAAGCTACCGCCTTTGTGACTGACCCCGCCTTGGAAATGGACCCAGTGGTGCTGAGTTATCAGGACAGCCTGCTTCGGCGCTCAGACGTGTCCCTGTTGGAGGGCCCTCACTGGCTCAACGACCAGGTCATCGGTTTTGCCTTTGAGTATTTTGCCACAGAGCGCTTCAAGAGCCTGGGTGACAAGGTCTGTTTCATCAGCCCTGAGGTCACCCAGTTTATCAAGTGCGCCTCCTGCCAAGAGGAGCTTGCTCTGTTCCTGGAGCCCCTGAGGCTGTCGTCCCGTCGCTGGGTTTTCTTGGCAGTCAACGACAACTCCAACCAGACGGCCGGCGGCTCCCACTGGAGCCTGCTTCTCTACCAGCGAGACACAGGCCATTTTTCCCACTACGACTCGCAGAGCGGCGGCAACTCCCTGCACGCCCGGCGCATTGCAGCCAAGCTTGAGACTTTTTTGGGCGCCAGGGCCCAAGTGCCCTTCGTGGAAGAGCCATGTCCATCGCAGCAGAACAGCTATGACTGCGGCATGTACGTCATCTGCAACGCAGAAGCTCTGTGCGAGAGCTTGCGGGCAGAAGGCTGCGCTCGCCTCCCTGCCCAGACTATAACACCCACTTACATCACGAGGAAGCGGACAGAATGGCACTCACTAATTCAAAGACTGGCTAGAGACTGAGGAGCTTTGTACTGGTCATATCATCACACACTGAGTGGTTAGCATGAGCTACTTCATCTGAGGTGTTTGGCTAATAGGAGTGTAAATGTCTGACCTCAAAACGATCAGTTAGATTGGGGGTTTGTAGGAAACAATTCAGTGTGTCACGAAATCCGAAATATCATCTGGATTTGATACTAACCGATTATTTTGGTACAATTTAGAATCAAAATTCATATTTATTTTCAAAAATACACAGAAGACAGACAAATACAGTTACACAGTAGCACAACATACACAATGTTTTGGGTTTTAATTTGGCCAAAAAGATAAATAAGCGCACCCTTTATTTTTGTTTTTTAATGAATATCATTCTAAATATGGCTGGTAAATGAACAAACTGATTAATTGTGATTAATCCTGAATTTTTGTATAGTTAATCATAATTAATCAGATTCTTATTATGATAAAATTGACCCTAAACATTTTATTCCCTGTTTTTAGTATATTGTGTCATATTTATATTAGCAGACAAAATGACAAAACAAGGTTGATTAGAATATGTTTATTACTCAGTTTTCATATTAACCTGAACATTAACCTGAACATGAAAATTACATGATTTCCAGGGTGAACCCAGTTGTTTTTCATCACAGAAGTCTAGTGAGAGCAGCAGTGGCTGCATGTTGCAACCAGTGAGTGTGTATATGTATCTTATTGTGTGTGTGTATATATATATATATATATATATATATATATATATATACACAAACACACACACACAGTGATCCAACAGGTTGTAGCCTCTCGCTTTCGCTCTCGTTCATACAGCTTGTGGATTCCTGCTACAGTTCCTCATTTGTTAGTTTACTTCTCATTGATTAACCCGTAAGTCCCAGTGAGCTTTGTTCATCGTAGTCTCTAGAAAGTGCTGAAGGAACAACATGAAACGCTACAAACGTGGATTCTGTCATAGCAACATGCAGCACACATGCAGCTGGGCTTCAGAATGGACCACTGCAGATGGTTGTAATAATAATAATAATAATAATATGTCGTGTTGTTATTTGATAGCCCTAATTGAAATAGATTCTCATACAGTCTCTGCAACTGAGTCAGATCAATGCATTGTGCCTCAGTGAACCTTTACACTCCTATTGGCTAAAAACCAAAGTCACTACTTACAGTAAGAAGTTTATTATACTCCTGCACAACAACACTCAACATATGGAGATCTAAACAGCATGCACCGCTAATCAGAAGAACATGATCAGAACATAAACACAATGCTCTTTCATTCATACATTCAAGCAGGAGCAAACTTGCAGTAAACGTAATCAGCAGCACAAGCACAGAGACTGAATGTAAGCTCCAGAAGATTAGTAGCTGCTTGGAGTGAGTCTTTGACACGTTGATGAATGTGGCTCTTGTTTACAAGACTTTTCGCTCAGGGTTATTTCAAGAAGAAAACAGAAGAAAGAATGTGGTCTCTCTTGTAGATTTACTGGTCGAGAACAACACTTATCTATCTCTTGTGAACAGTCTCTGCTACATATGTCAGCTCAAATTGCAAGTTTCAAGGGAGCAAAAAACCTGTTTCCTTATCTTTGAAATCCTGGTTCTCTGCTGCCATAAGAGATGTGTATCTACTGTGTTACGTGACACTTCAGAGTTTAAGCTTCACTGAGAAAATTGTGGATTTCGTCAGTGCTAGTGCATTCATGCTCTGAACAGGCGAAACGCTTTCTGACCTCGCAGCGATGCGCAACCTTTTGTATTTTCTGCTTTTCTCATGACAGTGAATGACGCAAATAAGAATCAGCTCATTAAATCTCGTCAAAATAAAGCATCTGTTGCATGGAAGGAAACGTTTGTATAGTTTGTGAAGGTACACCATACATGCTGTTATAATTGTCAAATGTGAAGTGAAAAATGGTGTCTAGATGATCTTGGGGAGGCATTTTGGTATCATTGTGATAAATTACGTTACGATATTTGAGTTTATACAACAGTTATTTCCGGCCACGCAAGCTGATTGGTTGAGAAGTGTTCTAACTGTGCTGTTATTTCACCATAACATGTTTTTTTTTCACAAACACTATCACTCCGCTGAGACGGTGTTGCTAAGCAACGACTTTGACAGCTATAGGAGACGCTCAAGCCATGTGAACGTTTTTACTTCTTACTTTGCACATAAACAGAAAATGGACACTTTTAAGATCACATTTGACCGACAGCCGATTTGGTCAGACTCTGAAGATGAGACGACACTAAATTCCCCAAACTGTCATCACCACTGAGCAGCTTTTCAGTCGGCAGCTGTGACAGAAGAACAGCTAAACAACCTGGAATCAGCCAGAAATTAACCGAATACCATTCACCAAACACAATGGGCTGTAAGATGCTTTACAGACTGGCTGGAACGAAACAACATTAATATTGATCTGGCAAAAAATGACAAAACTGAGCTAAACTTGATATTGAGGCAGTTTTATGGCTCAGTTCGATTTGGTCAGACTCTGAAGATCAGACTACACATTTGGCGAATGGTATTCGGTTCATTTCTGGCTGATTCCAGGTTGTTTAGCTGTTCTTCTGTCACAGCTGCTGACTGAAAGCTGCTCAGTGGTGATGACAGTTTGGGAATTTAGTGTAAGGAGTTGGAGAACGAACTGCAGCGAGTGAGCGGAGTTCGTTACTCTGACGTAGCAACAAACTGCTTGTTAAGGAACTATAATTTGGCAGAAGGAATTACTAACATTAAAACATTAAATGCTGCATTCACAGCCCAATTTATTTAATTTTTACTTTATTTAACTGTTGTATAAAAGTAATAGAACACGAGGGAGTGTGTTATTGCGAATAACATCTTGACTGTGATGTAGATCCTCACAGTCGTGATATTCGTGAAAACACACAACTTCTCGCATTCTATTGGTTAAATATCATGGGCATTAGTAATTCTACAACACGGAACTGCATGTGTCATTAAAAAGCCAGATTCAGAGCAACTATAGAAAGTCCTTAAACTACAACAACGAGTGTACAGTAACTTCATAAACTGCATGTTAAGTAGCTGATTGGATTTCAGCTCATTATGACATTTTATATTTATATATTTTTAAACAAATCATAACTTTTTTTAAAATTTGGCACTAATGATGCTGCATTTTGTCAGTTCCAACTTGATTTTAGCATATGAATAATGAATAATTAATTTTACTCAGCTACTGTGGGGGTTTTACAGAAGCAGAGCAGTCAGATTTTGACAACATTCAAAATCATTTGGACTTCCTCCAGGAGAACCCAGTCAGCAGCACTGCTTTAGGGATTTGAAACAAATCAATGGTCCAGAGCAGAGATAGATATTCTATTTCAAAGCCTGTAGCAAGTGAAGGTCAGTGAAAGCAGGGATTTTTTTTCTTTCCATCAGTCCTGACCTTCTGTTTGGGCACAGTGAGTGAGGGGAGATTACAGTGTCAGCAATGTGGTGGTGCTGAAAAGCAAAGCTGACACAGAACAGGCCCAAAGCGAGGTGCAGGCAACATTGTGCAGATACCTCACACTTCCATTACCTGAGACAGGATACCAACATTTCCAGGCAATGGCTTTCTAATAAATCACAACATGGCAAGTGCCCAGCACCAAGTTTGTTGAGCAGAAACTGATGAGTAGAATAATTAAGTAGGTTTATGTACCGAAATCAGTCAGAATTCATTGTTTACATGATATTGTCTGACCTCTCTTCATCCCTTAGAATCAAACCGGCTGTTTTGGTTAAGACTGAAATATGTAAATGACCTCTGTTCTGATTGGCTGCCCTGTATTCTGCTTCAGTCCAGGCTGAAACATTCCTTATAACTTCAATGTAAACGGGTGGAGCTAAACCACTGGAGGCTGAATAGAAAACAATTCAAAATGGGCTGTTTGCTTTCCACATACAGACTGTGTAGTGTGGCGAATGAACAATTTGTTGTTATGACACTGTTTATGCACAAAATGAAATGGTTATTTCCCAAAAAGTGAGGAAAATTGAATTTTCAATAATATAGTCTCTTTACAAGTACGACTGCACTGCATACCATGTGATTGCATTGCTATATATTGCAATATGCCTTGCACTGTATTGAGACCCCATTTGTAAACCATTAATGTGACCTGGTTAAAGTTTGGCCTTTTGATCGAAACAGTGGCAGATCTAGAAAATTTTAGGGTGTCAGGGAGTTTCGGCAGGGTGGCAACGTGAATGTGCAATGGGGTCTGAAAAGCTGGGGGGGTGGGGTGGTTGAAGAGAGGTCAGACGGTTGTTCCGCACATTGGCGATAGTGAAACCACTCACGTCTTAAAGGCACAAACACCTGCCCCACAGCGAGATGGAATCCAATGACGTGGCAGAAACTTTGGGGTGGCACCTGGAGTGCCCAATCAGATTTCAGCGGGACACTGGCCACCCAGGACACCCCTTTAAAACCATACACATTGTAAGATGATGTGAATGCTTTAATTCATTCATTCTCCAACACCATTCTTGGATGATTAAGAATTGGTCAGATATTCACAGCCCAGTTAAACATTTAGGGCCTGCTTAATTTAGTTTAGCTTAGCATGAGTCCCTTAATGATTTGTTTGAGGGCCTGTTTACATGCAAGCATTCTTGCTACTGCAAAGAACAATACTGCAATTACAATTAACAAACAGTAATTTGAGTATTCCACATTAAGATTGGACAGAAAACCAGAATCTCCCAGGACCTGCAGTGATACAAACAGTAAGACGGAATTCCTGGATTAAAGTTACTTTATCCGAATTATTCAAATTTAAAATGACAATTATCATTATCATCAAAACTAATACTGTTGATGTGATCAAAACAATCACGTTTTTTGGTGTTATCACCACATTGTGTCATTGAGACCAAGCACTACTCTGATAAAGCACTAAAAGCTAGTTGTGTTCAGATTTTAACTACATGCTTTCTCATGCTTTTCAGGTAGACTGTAGCAGCTGGCTATTTACTTTCCCTGTGACTGTTTAAAAAGATGGTATTCATATGTGACATTATTAAGCTTTTACAGGACGGAAAAAGAAAGGACTGAGAAAGACACATGAAAAAATGAATGACAGAATTCATATAAATATGGGGATGTACTTTGTTGCCATATGGCAACATTGTGTGACAATGGAACCTTAATCTGCTATGCATATACCATACATTCCATAACTACTCTCATCATGCAGGTATGAAAAATATATATATTCATAAATATTTTGAGAATATAGAGAGGTGTGAACCCTATTATATTGGAGGAGGAAAAACAGCTCGAACATCGTGTACGGGTTTACTCCTACTGTACACATTGCAGATTGAGGTTCCATTGTCACATCATGTTGCCATATGGCAACAACTACATTTTGAGATCTTCTTTAAGTTTTTCTCTTAGTGTATAAATATTAAATTATACACGCACTTTGAGAGGGCTTTAGATGTTGGGCCAGGTTACACATAAGCCATTCAATTTCACAAAGAAATAGAAAAAAATGGACTGTAACATTGCAGCCATGCAAAAAAATTACAAGCAAGTAAGTGTTGCCATATGGTAGCACCATCCAGTAAGGAGTTAAAATTTGAAACTATGACTATCATTCAGTTTAAGCGTCCCATCCCTGATACAGTGAGAGTTCTACGGGCTGAGAGAATACCTCCCTGCGGCTCCTCAGGTGTTTTCCATTATCTCTTTGAAGGAGCACTGACCCTGTTTCTCGGCTGTCAGGCCAGGACCCCCCCTTACACATCCTCTTAAGCTGTGCTGTAATATGCTGCAGATCCCCCCAAAGTGTAAACATATTTACAGCCTTTCTATCTCTCCCAGTGGGCCACGGGGTATCTAACTATGGCCCTCCAGCAAACGGATCTCAGGGTGAAGGCATGTCCGAGCATCTGAAACCCACTACACCTATCTGAAAACATGTATAGCTTATTTACTTTGGAGGGGGTCTTCGCAGATGTAACTGAAATCTGTTGGCTGGAATTCAGTCGATAATTCTTTCATCGTGTATTTTTGAGTGTTGACAACAAAAAAGCAGTGCCTAATGCAGTGAGAAGGAATGACCGCAACCAGTGTTTGGCAGCTTTTACTTTAAAATATACTATTACAGTACGAGGCCTGTAACGTGATAAGGTTTTTTGAGCCACTCTAAAGACATCACAGCCGGAGTGAACATAAATAGCCCTCTGGACATTGTCCTTGGCTTTGTGATGAATGTCATAGAAATGTCTCTATTACTGCAAAGAGAAGATGCCTCAAGTTATGTGGAGCTGAGAGGTAAACGTGGGCGATATGGCACAAGTATCACAATAATTGAAGACATTTTTATTGTGTACAATATGTAGCATGATATTGAGTTTCTCTGAGGTTTGTTTGGAGTTGGAACTGACCAAATGCACCACATAAAAATATTTTCTTATTATTATATTATCTTATTTATGATGCATCTCATTGTGCTGTCCTCTAGAAGTACTGGCAGTACCCATGATGTGCTCCAAAAAGAATATTGTTATGTAATTTATCTCAATTACAATAACATATCATATCGCCCAGTCCTACTGGGGCATATATGAGCATCGAGAGGCTGCCTGGCTCACAGCACTGCCTCCAGCTTTTACATTAACAGTCTTGTTTAGTGCAGCTCCTCTGGGCATAATTGCAAGTGGAAAGACAGTGACAGATGATGGAAAGACTGGAACAAATGGGATCCCAGCGCCTCTTCACTGTAAACACTTGCCACCGAGGTGTTGACATGGCTTCAGTATATTTAGCACCAGATGACAAAGCACCTCTGAGCGTTTCCCCTATTATTTCAAC